CTTGGTGCCTCTCGCCCAGCTGCGCAGGTGTTCTGGGAGCTGATGCGTCTGCGCAGAGAGATGAGTGTGGCCAAGCTGGGCGTCTACTGGACCGAGGAGGGATAGAGACGAGGAGGAGGAGGAAGAGGACAGCCCGCGGCCCCAGGGAGACAGCTGGGAGCTGATGGAGAGAGGGATGAGTCCTGTGTTCCAGTTGTCCTCTCTCTCAGGAAAGTGGCCTGTCGCTAAGTTACTGGGGCAAACTGGACTCTGAGAGCTGGTTCTGTGGGCCGAGGGGCAGACTGGTGTGGGGGTCACGGGGACGGCAGGATGGACATGGGGGACACTGGGGGTCAGACAACATCACTAGGAGTTTGTGGGAACCAGCAGAAAACTCTGGGGGACAGTGGGAGACTCTGGGGGTCAGTGGGGGACAGTTCAAGACTTTGGGGGACAGTGGGAGACTCTGGGGGTCAGTGGGGGACAGTTAAAGACTTTGGGGGACAGTGGAAGACTGGGGGTCAGTGGGGATCTATGGAAGATTTTGGGGACCAGTGGAAGATTCTGAGGGACAGTGGGGGTCAGTGGAAGACTTTGTGGGTCAGTGGGGATCTATGGAAGATTTTGGGGGTCAGTGGAAGACTCTGGGTGTCCGTGGGGATCCGTGGACGATTTTGGGGACCAGTGGAAGACTCGGGGGGGCAGTGGGGCTTCATGGGGAACGTGTGGGAGTCAGTGGGGCGATGGGGGTCGTGGGTGAGTGGTGGCGGGCAGTGGGGTTCCCACAAAGACAGGAGCAGAGGTGGTGCCAGTCTGGCCCCTGCCTGCAGTCAGCGTGACTCCAGAGGAAACTCAGACAGTTCTCTTTGCACAAGCCGATATGCTAACCTCACACAGTGATTAAATGTACTGTTTATATATGCATATCTATCTATGTATGTTCCACTGATATCTATGCATCCAGACCACAGCCAGCAGGGGGCAGCACTGAGTGGTCAGAGGAGACCACTGCCACAGTGCTGCCCAGTGCTTTCCGGCCGAACCGAGATTCTGACCTCCTGTACACATCTGTCTGAACCAGTAAAGAGCAGACTGAGTCAGAACCCAGAGCCTGTGTGTGTTCTTCTTTGTGTGTGTGTGTATCTTTGTATCTCTATCAGTGTGTGTATCTGTGTGTATCTATGTCTGCGTGTGTGTGTATCTGTGTGTACCCGTATCAGTGTGTGTATGTGTGTGTACCTCTGTCAGTGTGTGTGTATCTGTGTGAACCTCTATCAGTGTGTGTATATCTGTGTGAACCTCTATCAGTGTGCGTGTATCAATGTGTATCTTTGTCTGCGCGTTTGTGTCTGTCTGTCTCTGTATATGTGTGTGTCAGAGCTGGTCTCCCAGTCCTGTTGGTTACCCAGCCAGCACCTGGGTCAGATGGACTCCAGTGGATGACAACAGCTGTCCTGGACTTGAGCTGGACTGATCCTGGAGAACGTCACTGGACGGGTTCTGTTCAGGCAAGAACAACATTCACCCAAGGAGAGCAGTGTAAACTCTGCCAGTTTAATAGGAAGCAAAGACATTTCTGTCAGCTGCCTGACGCAGTATTACAGGAAACTACTGTGAGTATATGAGTCTAGAGACAGACCAGCTGTGCGATGAGTGTGTGTTATTAGCACATGGACGCAGTCTGATTGGTCTGTAATCGCTAGTCTCGTTGTGGCCCCTCCCCTTTCTTCTCAGTGGTGTGTCCTTCCCCGGCGGGGAATTGGACAATTCTCGGCCCCGCCTCCTTTCCGCAGCATCCACCAATCATAGGCTGTCGTCTCTTGCCAACCCTGCGGAGTGACAGTGGGATATTTCCCTCAGAGTTGGTCCTCATGGCTGCTCTCCTGCACCTATCACTGGACAGGTGTCCAGTCCTGAGACCGTGCCAATCTGGTTTTGGCGTTTGCAAACTGATCTTTTATGAATTTTTAGTTCCCCCGAGAAGTTTCACACCCGAATAGAGACAGAAAATGGCACGATCCCAGGTCTAATTGGGTTGAATTGGTCTTTAACGAACTGGACAGCTTCCATGTTTCCGGGCCCCACTTTCAGCCAATAGCAACCCACCTCCTGTAGCATGTGACCACCAGCAACAGCAGAGCCACGCCTCCCGTCACTGCCATCACCGCGGCGACCACGGAGGTCACATGGGGCGAGGGGGCCGTCCCCTTGTCTGAGGGAGGAAGAGGAGGGAGACGCCGTGACTGGAGGGAGGAGAGAAGAGCGACCAGGCTGTCTCACAGGGAGGGGCGATGGCTCACCTGTGCACAGGTGGGACCCCGGCGTGTTGACGCAGGTGTCCGAGGGCGGGCAGGGCGCAGGGAAGCTGGCACACTCGTCAATATCTGAAAGACACAGCACAGCCCTGACAGCGCAGGCTGCGGGTTCAAGCAGGGCGGGCGCGGCCTGGGAGGGCACGGGCTGTACCTTGGCAGGCGGGGGGAGCTGGGCGCCACTGCCCACTGTGGGGGTCACAGGTCACGGAAGGGGAGCCCCGCAGCTGGTAACCACGGCGACACTCGTAGAGGACCGCGGCGCCACAGCGCAGGGAGAAGCCATGTGCCAGGCGGGGAACCGCGCCGCAGTGGGGGTCTGAGAGGGGGGGTCACCACAGACAGAGCATCAGCAGGCCCTCTCTCCTGTGTCCTCCTCTCCTCTCTCATCTGTGTCCTCCTCTCTCCTCTCTTCACCTGTCCTCCTATCCCTCGCCTCTCTCTCTCCTCTCTCACCTGTGTCCTCCTGTCCCTCTCCTCTCTCACCTGTGTCCTCCTATCCCTCTCCCCTCTGTCTCCTCTCTCTCCTTTCTCTCTCCTCTCTCCTCTCTCACCTTTGTTCTCCTCTCAATTCAGTTCAATTCAAGGTGCTTTATTGGCGTGACCAATGAGTAAAATCAGCATTGCCAAAGCAAAACAAATACAATTAACATATAAAATCTAGATATTTACAGTACAGACACAGATAAGATAAGAATGTAGTATTCGTATTCCTCAGGCTGGGACAGGAGATCACACACTGTATTATTATTGAGAGGTGGGTAGCTGCGTCAGCATGCGTAGGCTGCAAAGGAACAAGTAATAGGTTTATTCCATGCTGAAAAAAAGAAGAAAGAGAACACAACGTTTCGGCC